TTTCTTTCTTTCTTTCTTTCTTTCTTTCTTTCTTTCTTTCTTTTTTCCCTTTTTTCTTTGTAAGACGAGCCCTGCTAGGGTTTTGCATTGCAATCTGTACATGCTCGTGTGTGCCTTTGCTGCCGGAATGGAGCAGCGTTGCCCGGGTTCTTTGGGTCCTCCATTCACTAAGGCTGCACTACTATTACTATTAGTCTTCTCGTCGTTCCTATCACCCATCTCCTCCCACTTATGACTATAGTACTGTAACTTTGTTGCTTGTCTCCTTACGGTTTATATTGATATTGATTGTTTCCTGATTGACTATCATTAAGTGTTGTACCTTAGGATTCTTGACAAATGTATCTTGTCTTTTTATGTACACTGAGAGCATATGAACAGTCACACTTGGCCAGTAAAGAATTTATTCTATTCTACTCTACTCTATTCTAGCCCCAGCCCTATTCTATTCCTATTCTATTCCTATTCTATTAGGGAAGAAGACCATAAACTTGACCAGATAGATGCTTCTCCTTCCTTTGGGTACCTGGGCAATATTCCAGTAACATCGCTTACACTTCCTTCAAATTTGGTTTAGGTAACCACTGGAGAAAATCAGGCTAGAACGATCTGCTTCTCTTCTCCCCATATGTTTCTACCCAGTATGGGAAAACATGGCTGTGTACATTCAAACTGCATGCACATATTTGCCCAGCTCTTATTTGAGTGGGTATGTGTATATAAAAATATAAATACACACACAAACATACATACACAGAATTCTTAAAGCATATTTTGGACCAGCCAGTTGAGCTTCGTATTTGAACCTCTCATATACAGAATGAGTCATTTCTTCTATAGAAGTTGGATTACTTTTTGCTGTTCATACCCAGCATTCTTTTATTTTTCTTTCTGCTTTGTATCTTCTCCCATTTTATGGGCTTCCTGTGTGTGTGCGTGTGTGTTTTGTAATTGTTACAATTTCATTCGGTCCCTCAGGTTAGAGCCAGGTTCTCATCCTATCCTTTCCCTTTTACTGATGCTCTTTTCTTTCCTCTTGATACACATTTCATTCTGTTTGTCAGAGGTGGTTGCTGTTTTGCCTGACCTTGGTTTTAGGGAAATGAAAAGCAGAGGTTTGGAAAGATGGGGTGCTTTACACTGCCTGGGGAAGAGGAATAATTTAATTGTAGCTTCATGGTACTATGATTGTTTTATCTCTCAGTTCATTCCGATATTAAGCTTAGATTGATTTCACTGCGTTCTCCAAGATGGTCTTTTGTCCTTTTCCCTCATCCACTACCATTGCATTATCAGAGCTCTTGTCAGTTTCCTCTTCCATCTCTGCTCTGGGTTTCCCTGGTGCAGAAGCTCAAATTCCCTTGCTGCTGCATGTGTCTATGACACGTTTGCCACCTTTCTCATATTGTATTCAGGCAGATGTGATGGAAGGGAGAGAACTGGAAGTCTAAGTGGATCTTGCTAGTAACTAAGAATCAAGGTTTTTCTCAAGGTTGTAAACAAGGCTGAATGTATTAACTAAGGTAAACAGCTATATTATGTGTGCATGACAGATGGTCTCCTTATTGTAAAGCAGTATTCTCCGGTGATTCAGTTTTCACTTAAATTGGATAATTAGATAAAAAATTCAACTGAAAAATAAACAAATTAATTCCATGGCTGAAAACCATTTTGAATACATCATGATCCCACTTTCTAGATTTATTGATCTTCATGTTGATGTGCTGAGAATAGTATGATAGATTTTCTATTTGCACTTTAAACTAACTTTATGAACGGATGGGAAGTGATATCTTTCTATTTCTAAATGAGGAAATAGGACTTAAAGCATTTTGATTTTCTGTGTCTATCCTTTGCCGACAAGAGTAAGAAATGAATATAACGGATATAAAGGATGCTGTATATTTGGTCTGAAATGTATTTGCTGCTGGCATTTTATACAGAAACAGTCTAGCTGCTTATATCGTTTCTCCATTTTCTTTGATTACATGTTTTATTCTCTATTCTTTCTAGGGATCACCTGAGTCCATCAACTCGTTTTATGCTGAGTCCTCGGCGTCGCTATCCTATCCAGCAAGCCCAATATGCTGCGTTGGGAACCCTGCCTTCAATTTGCTGGGATGAGTATCGGCGGAAAAACAGGCTATCCATTCACCATTCTAGCATGGCCCACAGCCCTGTAACAGTGAAGATTGCTCGGCCAGAAAGCAGCATTGGCCGTTCTCCACTGTGAGTTTGCTTCAGTAGTTGATTTTGGGTAGTTTTTAAGTTTCCAGGCTTGACTGAGAAAGGGTCTTCTCTTGGAGTGATCTCATTTCTCATTTCTCTTCCTGGTTTATAGTGTTATATGTAAATGTTGTGGAAAGCCTGGCAATGTCTTAAGCTGTTTCCTTGTGGCCCAGTTACTTAGGACACATCTTGGTTAGCTGATTGGTGGAACTGACTGAGGTATTCCTCTTCCTATCCCCAGCCTCCATAATTCTTGGCCCTACAATGACTTCTTAACCACTCATAATATTGCTTTAGAAGTGTTTTGTGAGGTCACAAGTAAATCCTGAAGTAATGTGAACAGGCTGCTTATATTCAGCCAGTTTTCAACCTGAATCCCATGGGATAGGTCCTGTGGGCATGAGGAATGGGTAACTTAGTTTACAGAATTTACAGAATAACAGAGTTGGAAGGGATCTTGGAGGTCTTCCAGTCCATCACCTTGCTTAAGCAGGAAACCCTAAACCATTTCAGACAAATGGTTGTCCAGTCTCTTCTCAAAAACCTCCAGTTTTTGGAGCACCTACAACTTCTGGTGGCAAGTTGTTCCACTGATTAATTGTTCTCACTGTCAGGAAATTTCTCCTTAGTTCTAGGTTGCTTCTCTCCTTGATGAGTTTCCATGAGTTCCTTCTGGTCCTGCCTTCAGATGCTTTAGGGAATGGGTTGACTACCTCATATTTGTAGCAGCCCCTCAAATATTGGAAGGCTGCTACCATGTCACCCCCAATCCTTCTCTTCATTAGACTAGGCCACCATCCCTTTAAGACTTGTGGACTTCAATTCCTAGAATTCCTCAGACAGAATTCTGGGAGTTGAAATCCACCAGTCTTAAAATTGCCAACTTTGGAGATTTCTGGATTAGATGTTTCCAGTTCTTTCAATCATTCATGATATGTTTTGGTGAATCCCACCTAATCTTCAACCACCATGCTCTACCAGGCTAAGTTCCTGGGGCATCATATGGACAGTAAGAGGAAATTCACATTCTTGTGATCACTCTCATTTCATCTGACAGGTTGGAGCAGTTGGTTTCTCCTGCAGCTTTCTCTTCAGCATCTAATACTATCCTGGATCCATGTGCAAAAGAAACTGTCTTGAATGCTCTCAAAGAGAGCCGGAAGAGAGCTGTGGAGGAAGAAGAGGAGGACCAGAACTTTCCAAATGGTCAGGAGAACAAGAAGAGGTAATTACTAATGGTCTCTTTCTGCATGCTGCAGAACAAGACTCCAGAAAGTTAGCACAGTAGTTAAACGCTTTGGTTAAAGTTGAGTGGAACTCAACATTAATGTGAACAAAACACTTTCTGAGATGGATCAAAGCAATATACAGGGGCATGTTTTAGTATTTTAATCCTCAGATCAAGACAAGTATTCTTCCATATTCCTTGTAAAAGTTTTGCATGAGAGGTTTTGTAGGATCCACACTGCAGCAAAGAGGTAATAGATTTGCAGCAAACATATAGTTTTGTATGTAAACAAATTGCAGCCAGGACTTGTTTTACGAAGCAACAGGGCTTAGAAGAATCAGAATGCTTGCACCAATATTTCTTCCAATTCCTTCTGTAAATTACTATCAGATTACCTCACACTTTATTTGACTTCAAATACTTTGTGACCATATTGCCACCATGCTAATAATAGAAAAATCTGACAAAGGCAGACAGGAATGAATATACAAAATGTGCACCTTATGATGATTTGAGACATCTAATATCAAATGTTCTCTGTAACAAACATCTGGACCAATCATTTTGGCCCATGTTTTTGCAGATATTCTTCTTTATTAGGAAACCAACCAGTTATTTTGGACACAGATAACTTATTTTCAGAAATTGCAGTTTTATTTCTTGATATTTTGCTATCTAAGGACATTTATATAAAGCCAATAATTTGTTTCGTAGACTTTGTACGAACTATTTTCAATAAGACTGCTATACTTGGAGAATTTTTTCCCTGCAATGAAAGGGTATAATACATGCCATAATGAGCACTGGAACTGCTAACATTGCTCATGGCATTTTAAGTTTGACAACAACTTAAATATTTAAGATATTAAATAACTTTTCCAAATTGAAATCTCTTTCTGATTCATCTTTGAAAAATTGCCAAAATGTGTTTTTCCTGTGATCAGCCTCCCTATTGATAGAATTGAATTTCATTATAGTGAACTAGTTGAACCAGAGATCTTTGGGAATGTGGTAGACAGAATACATTCTTGTTCCCACCTGAAATCATTCTTTTAATCTTTTTTTTTATTTCCTGCAGGCGCCATGATAGTACTGGAAGTGGTCATTCTGCATTTGAGCCCTTGGTGGCCAATGGAGCACCTGCATCTCTTGTGCCCAAGTAAGTGCCAGGAGCTTTGCTGAGAATGAGAAATGTTTTCCTTTTATAGTGCTAACAAATGATCCCATATATATTCTTGGAGGATATATTTAAATCCTTTTCTCCCCATATGTTACTTCTCCTATCAGTTGAAAGATTCATTTATAGTGTACGTGTGTGATTCAATTAAATAAATTAGAGAAGAAGCAAACACTTTTAGGAAAGGTGGTAGAGAAAATGGTGACATTGCAACTCAGAGGATCCTGGAGAAAACGGATTATCTGGATCCTTTCAGTCAGGTTGCAGGCCTAGATGCAGGACTGAAACTGTATTGGTCGCACTCCTGGATGATCTCTGATGGGAGGAAATGGTGCTTCTATCTTTATTTTTCTTGACCTCTCAGCTGCTTTTGATACCATCAACCATGGTGTCCTTCTGGGTCAACTTGAGGAGTTGGGGTTGAACAGCACAATTTTGTGCTGATTTACCTCCTTTCTTCAGGGCTGGTCCCAGTTGTAGGTGTTGATAGGGATGAGAAGTTCAACTCATGGCCCTCCTTTGTGTAGTGCTACAGGGTTTGGTGTTCTCCACTCCTAATCAACATCTACATGAAACCATTGGGTGAGATCATCTATCTCCATGGGGTGAGGTATCACCAATATACTGATGATACCCAGTCATATATCTCCATCCTGGGTGAATTGAGTGTTGCAGTGGATATTGTTTTACAATGGCTAGAAGCTGTAGGATCTGGATGGGGAAACGGCAGACTTCAGCCTAACCCTGGTAAGTCCGAGTGGCCGCAGGTAGGTCTCTCTGTACCCAGGAGTTTATCATCTTTGGTCTTGGATGAGATTGCACTATGCCAGACAGACCTGGTGCATAATGTGGGATTCATGGCTCATGCTTGAAGAGCTGGTGACCATGGCTGGAAAGGCCTTTACCCAACTCCATGTTGTGTGCCAGTTATGCCTTTTCCTGGGCAGGGAATCTCTATCTCTAGTCGTGTTCTGATTGAACTATTGCAATGCACTCTAAATGGAGCTACCTCTGAAAAGTATCTGGAAGCTTCAGCTGGCAGAGAATGCAGCTGTTGCAAGTAATGTGCCCATAGAAAACAAAACTCAGAGGCAGGCAGTTTCCTCAAAGAACAGTTTATTGGATACTTCATATTGGCTCAACTTATGGAAGCCAACTCTGGAATTTCCCACAGGCTTTCACCTAATGAAAAGTAAAAGTTTCCCCCCAAGTCATGTTGTCCAATCCAGGTAGTGGTCAGTTGCTGGGTTAGTTGCTCCTCCTCTGGCCAGCCACCTGTGAGAATGTCTTTTGTTCCTACAGGAAAACTTTATTGTTTTGCCTACAAAACCTCATCTAACTTATTTCCCCCCTTCCTCCGTTGTGTGGCAACCCTGATGCCTCCAAGATGGCTTCAGCCAGGCTCACTTCAGGGTTGACAGCAACTGCACAAGCCATACTGGGTGCCTGAAGAAGAGGACATATAACAACACCCTTGCTCTGCGAACTGCACTGGGTGCCATTTTGCTTCTGGGTCCAATTCAAGGCCTTAGTTATCCTCTATAAACTCTGCATGGCATAGGACCAATATCATCAGTTCATCCCATTCAATCAGGCAGGCAGGGAAGGTATTCTACAGACCCCGTCAGTGAAAGAATTTTGACTAGTAGAGTCTAGGAAGAGAGCCTTATCTGCCATTGCCCCTGATTTATGGAGCATCCTGCTCCCAGAGATGAGGAAAGACCCCAATCTCTTGGCCTTCTACAAAGGGCTCAAAACTCTGCAAACTTGCATGGGGGGCACAGAGGACCACGCAACCATGGGAGTAGCTAGTATCTTGAGACCCCCTCCCTCCTATTATAATCCAATAATTCTAAAAGGCAATCTTAGGTTTGATTTTTAATTTTAATATTAAGTTTTCTATATCTTTTTATTTGCCAGTTATATTACATTGTATACCACCCAGAGTCCCTCTTTGGGGGAGATTGGGGAAGTCTAGAAACATGAAAGATAAATACTGTATTTTTCAGAGTATAAGGCCCACTTTTTTTCCTCAAAGAAGAGGCTGAAAATCTGTGTGCGTCTTATACATCGAATACAGCATTTTTTGCCACCTGAAGCCCCGCCCCTTCACAAAATGGCCGTGCAGAGCCTTATGGGGGCTTTCAAAGAGTCCTGGGGGGTGAGGAGGGCGGAAATGAGCAAAAAACACTCTATAAGCCTCCATAAGGCTATGCATGCAATTTTTTTTGACAAAAACCGGGATCGTTTTCGCGAAAAACGAGCTGTTTTTTGCTTGTTTTGGGGGAGCCCACCCCCTCCCCAAGGCTATTCATGCCTTTTTATAAAATAAAAAAACAGGGCCATTTTTGTGAAAAACGGGCTGTTTTGGGAAGGTGTTTGCAGGGTGCAAAAACTTTTTTTTTCCTTTTGGAAAGCTCTTTAACTGATTGATGAGAATTACATTGATCAAGTGATGTGCCAGCAGAAACAAAGTCTTAGGTGCTGCAGATTGTCAGTGATTTCCTTCTCCAGCAAATGGATAATTACACCTGGAAACATCTACCTACTCTCTCTCTCCCTACCTACCTACCTACTGTATTTCTCTCTCTCTCCCTACCTACCTATTATATTTCTCTCCCACCCTCTACCTACCTACCTACTCTCTCTCTCTCCCTATCTACTGTATTTCTCTCTTTCTCTCCCCCTCTATCTACCTACATATCTACCTACTCTCTCTCTCCCTACCTCCCTATCTACTGTATTTCTCTCTTTCTCTCCCCCTCTATCTACCTACATATCTACCTACTCTCTCTCTCCCTACCTCCCTATCTACTGTATTTCTCTTTCCCTCTCTCTTTCTCTATCCCTCTACCTACTAACCTACCTACTCTCTCTCTATATCCCTACCTATTACTGTATTTCTCTTCTCTCTATATTTCTCTCTCTCTATCCCTTTATCTACCTAACTAACTAACTACTCTCTCTCTCTCCCTACCTACCTACTGTATTTCTCACTCTTTTTCTCCCTCTCTATCCCTCTATCTACCTACCCACTTTTTTTCATTTACCTCTTCAAAACCTTGGTGTGTCTTATACTCCAGTGCGTCTTATACTCTGAAAAATGTGGTATATAAATAAGATTTTAAATGCTTGGCTAAAGAGATGTAGCTTCACAGATCTTTCAAAGGTAGGAGTGTGAGCGGAGCACATTTCTAGAAAATATATAAAACATATAAAATATATCTATGAAAGGTAAATATATAAATAAGATTTTAAATACCTGGCTAAAGAGGTATAGCTTCAGTGAGCTCTTGGGAGAGTGTATTCTGTACTTTGAAGTTATAGAAGAGAATGTGATTTCTTTTGAGTTGGATAAATGGGCCTCTGAAAGCTGGAATATAATTCCAAGGGCTTTTTCCTGGAGACAGTTTTTTTAGTTGGACTCTGCTGGAAATGTATTCTGTAGTCTTTATGCTTGAAAACCAAAGGAAGCAAGAAAAGTTTCTTCATTACACTTTGGAAGCTGTTCTTCTGCAAAATGCATCTAATTATCTTGCAGCAAACCTATAACCGCTGTCTCTTTTCCTAGACCTGGCTCTCTGAAGCGAGGACTTGTTCCTTCCCACTGCCTAGAAGATTGCTCCTCTAAGAGATCGCGCACTTCTTCCCTCAGTTCTGTGAATAGTCTGTCTGTGAGTGGTATACCAAGCTCTATCCGCAATGCTATTGCCAGCTCATACAGCTCCACCAGAGGTCTCTCACAGGTACATTGTTAGATGATTAACTCCTTTAATGCATGAGATACTGAAGGTATTTCCCAGAACAAAGATGTGATGATAACTTGTTATTCTCTTCTCTTGAACAAAACTTGGTACAAATATTAGTCTCTCTGTGTTCTCAAATTAGAAGAATAACTACAGTGATAAAGGGATTTTACTCTTAAAATGTAAAAATATGACTGCAGATCAGTGAAGTTAAGTTTGCCAGTTTTCATAAATTATTGTAAAATGATCTACAAAACCTGAAGGTAGCCAGCTGCTATGACTACACTCCGGCAAACTCATCAGGGGAGTAAGTCTAACTTTTTCCTCAAAACAAACAAGCATACTGAATGCTGATCTATCTAGGCAGAGACCACCAAGAGACTGAAACAAGGAGATAAGTTGAGTTGGGGAATCTAATAAGAGCAACAATATTACAGTAGCCAGTAATTGGGTAGGGTTTTAAGAATAAAAACGGCTTACCACTTTTATTCTTTTCTATTATTATTATTATTATCAACAACAGAATTGTATCATAGCAGCCAGTTGTTTCGCTAGATTTGGCATCGATTACTAGTCGGGCCCCACCCAGGGGCCTAGGACGTCGTAACGTATTTTC